ACCGAGACTGTCCAAGCCGGGGCTCGAACCGGCAACCTTCTGATTACAAGGCAAACTCCCAACTCTCGAGCCACGATCGCATTTTTCATTCGGCTGAATTCTGTTTTCTTACCCCTCCCAAATTAAATGTATAATCCCAGCTATGGTAGCCAATATAGGACAAAAAACTCTGCTTGTTGTTCATCTGTAGTGAGTATAGGTTGTCAGTCCATTGTTTACCTCAGCTGTCAGTATGAGTCGTCATCTATTTACTCTGGAAGAGGCTGTAAAACTTTGTGAAAGGAATCTGATATGAGTCGATGAGTCAGTGAGGCTCACTTCTGTCTGATGACAGCGATACCGAGGTAAGTTTTTGAGGAGATCCTGAACTTTTCTCCTGGTAAGTGCAGCTGTTTTTGCTGCTGTTAGCAGGTGCTAGCTAAACTTTTTTTTTCAAGTGGCTCTGACTTCTGAAACTCTAAAAACTCTGAATGTAATAAAACTTTTTATCAGAGGGGAAGTGTGATTCTTGAGTCTAACATTAGCTGGCCCATTGTCAGCTATCTGGAGACATAGTGAGTCAGAGACATTGAAAATATACAAGTACAAATGTTAAATGGTCACATATACTTTAAAAGAGCAACTAGTGATCTTTAATTTAAAAGTAACTTATAGCACGTACTACGTACAGATTTTGACTATACCGCTCTACGGCACGTTGATGGTGTCATCAAGCTGCGCCTGTTTTGGTGGAAAGCATTGCAGCAGTTGCAAGCAATATCATCTGCAAATTATGCCGGGCGACAGTAATAGCAAAGAGACGAAGCACGTTTTGGAATATGAGGAGCGCTTCCTCCACTTCCGTTGATTAGTTAATGCAGCGGTCCCCAACCCCCCATGAGTCGTTTGGTACCAGGCCGCGAGAGTTGAGGCTCAGGTGTGAAATGTCTGGTTTTCAGGGTTTTTATCAGTTTTGAGCATTATCTTGTTATCGTTTTTATCGTTAACTCGGTTTTCCTGGGTCTTTTCACGTGTGTTATGAATAAATCTTCTTTTTTTCAGTACCGGTACTAGTTTTATTTTGTTGTATTTATCCGCGACACCTTAAAGGCTGGTCCGTGAAAATATTGTCGGTCTGTGGCGCAAAAAAGGTTGGGGACCGCTGAGTTAATGAATGAATTCTGCTCTATTCCCATGTTGTTGCAGTATATTAATGACTAACCTAACCTGACTAACCTAACGTGTCAATTTTTGAGAAAATTAAAGGATTTTATAGTGCGGAAAATACAGTATACAGAAGAAAATAATATATTGCAATATATATCGTTACCACACATGCTTCAAATTATACCGCGGTATGGATTTTAGGCCATATCACCCAGCCCTACTGGTAACAATTAAAAGCAAACCACACAAGTATTTAGTGATGATGGCATCCAGCAGCGCCAGTGCAAGTTTTGTTTTTACTTTTCATGTTGTGACATCTAAATATTTTAAGAATTAAAGTAATACAAATAAATAAACAGAGGCTTTACATAAATAACAAAACTGATTATAATATTAAAAGGTTTTTTCTTTTAAAATAAAAAAATCAAATAAAAAGTCACACTTCAGTAGTGAGGATTTGTTGGTGATATAAAGATTTAAGATGCTAATCATGTAATCGTGTCATGGTGTATCTGACAAAGCATGAAAATTATATCCAAAAATGACTCAACAGTAATATAAGTAACAGACAGAATAGCTGAGCTATGCTATGCCTGTTGTCCTATATACGTTTTGTTGCAATTTTTTCTTAGATAAAATAGAGTGAGACTGTGATTTTAAGCTCACACTAGGGCTGGGCCATATTATACCGTTCACGGTAATACCGGTATAATGTTAGGCAACGATAGGAAAATGAAATATCGCGATAGAATA